ATAAATTAAAGTATTTTATATACCTTTAAGGCTAGTTAAAAAGTTATAATTTAGGTTTTCTTTTCTTTTTAGCTTTTAATTATAGTAATTAGTTAGTTATTTAGTATAATATTTAAGTTATAAGCTAGATATATTATTTATAATTAAGACTTATAGCTAAGAGCTTAACTTAGTAGATAGAACTTAGTAGTACTTATTAGGGATAGTAAAACTCAAAGTAGGGAACTAAAAACGTAAATTCGATTTAAGCTGGGATCAATCTGGCGTGTTGTAGATCTTTTGCGGTGCTTGGGTGGGCTATGCTAGGGGGCGTCTGCATACACTGCCTGGTTCTGTCTGCTTTGCGTGCGTTATAGGCCAATCCCTAATCGGCTAGGTGCATATTGCTGCCTTGGCTAACTGACCAGGCATTACATATTGCTCACAAGGTGCGGGGCTTGGGTGCGGGAAACAAATATATGGCGTGACAACTCGAACTTCCAATTGCCAGTCATTCATCCTTATCAATTTGTCCTTAAATCTACGCTATTTAGCCTGTCTTTCCTCTAGCTGTGGTAGCTCACTGAAACTGAGTCCGCATCAAGCACTGACTATCTTCTCTACTTGTAGAAGATAGCTACAGTTCACATATCTCCCGATAACTTATTGGAAAGAAAAAGTCCTAAACAGCGCTGCGTTTTACCCCAATCAAGACCAAAATGACATTTCAGTACGATAAGCTGCCGAACAATGGTTTCTTCCGTGTCTTTGAGCTCGGCCCTGGAAAGGATAGCGACCCTCTTGAAGGCAATCTTCGAACATATCTACGCCAGCAAGCTCCCAAGTATGAGGCGCTAAGCTATGTGTGGGGCTCCTCTGTGCAAAATCAGCATATGAAGTGCAATGGCCAAACGTTCATGATAACTGATAGCCTTGGCGCAGCCTTAAGGCGACTTAGGCTAGTCGGTGACTCACGATATCTGTGGGTCGACCAGATTTGCATTGACCAAACCTCTCTTGAGGAGCGTTCTGAGCAAGTTTCTATCATGAGGGATATTTACTCTGGAGCTACGCTTGTCAATGCATGGCTTGGCCCAGCAGACGCAGAAGAGGCATCTGCAGTCGGGAAAATAATCTCAACTCTTGCTAAAAGAGAGCCACATGAATTCCGAGAACAGCAGTATTTTCCTAAAAACGATTATTTACAGGAACTTGGACTACCTATTAGAGATTCGTCAGCTTGGGAGGCTCTAAACTCTATGCTAAGCGTCCCTTATTTCTCCAGGGTTTGGATCCTGCAAGAACTTGCACTTGCAGCAAATTATACACTATTGTGGGGGGATCTCGTTATCTCTAAAGCCGACTTCATGACATTCAAAGTGGCAACGAAATGTCTTGGGATGCGTTATCGAGACCCGAATATCCTGGCTTTCCCTCTGGCGAAGGAGGCTTCGAATGATCCTTGCCCACGAGTCGAGTGGAATGTGGTTTCCATGGAATTCACAGAGAACTTGGGCGAAATAAGACTAAATCTATATCAGCTTGTCCGTTCAACGAAACACTGTCACGCCACTGACCCCCGCGATAAGATCTTTGCATTGATCGGCCTGGCGGGCGATACGACTTATGGTATTATACCAGACTATCGCAAGCCCCAATCAACAGTCTTTACAGAGTTCGCTTCGAAGGTTATAATGGCAACAACGAGCCTTGATATCCTCAACCACACAGCCATAGAAGATCCCAATGACACAGAGCGGCGTCCTCTTTGGGCTCCGAGGTGGTTTAACCAGAAACCTCCATCATATTTAGATATGAGAAAACGTGGTTTCAGATCTTCAAGCAACAAGAAGATTATGATGCAATCATCGATTGACAGTCAAGTCTTGGAGTTGAAGGGCCTGTACATCGACAGGGTCAAAGAGACTCATAATCGGAATGAGGATATATTTCGAACAATGGTATCTATAGGCAGCCTGACCATCGATCACGAATGCCTTCTGAGATACCAGTACGGTTCAGACATAATTGCACCGATTGTCTTCACATTGACGAGTGGCGGAGTACAGCCTACGGTTGGCAAAACGAAGCCGAGCTGCCCAACAAATGACTCCTACCTCAGTTTCTTCATAGCGTTTGCTTTCCAATCCCTTCTGGCGACTTGCGCCAGAAATGACAATATAAGGTGTCGTAAAGCATTGATCCAGCTTATCAAGATGGCGGTCCAAACTTTTCTTTCTGTGCCACAAAATGAGTCTATCTTTAGGGAACCTGAAGTTTGGGGGTTCTTGAATGATAATATGGCTCAGCTCTCTCCAGGCGATATGGACACTCATTGGGATATCCTTAGTAGAATCTTAAGTGACATTGCAGAAGATTCTTCAGCCTTTGCCCGGAATATCGCAGATTGTGTATGTAGAAGGTTCTTCATTACGGAAAACGGCTACATAGGCACTGGCCCTTGTTGTTTAGAGCCTGGGGACTCTGTCTGCATTCTTTTCGGTGGAGATACGCCGTATATAGTCCGCCCGAGTTCTCCCTCTTGCGATGAGTATCTATTTCTTGGGAATGCATATGTACATGGGGTGATGGATGGTGAGGCTATTACTACTTGGGAGGAGCAGAAGGATTCCCATGATGCAAAGTTCCAGGAACAACTTTTCAAGTTATTGTAAACAATTCCAAGTCATTAATAATACAAATTCTTCATAAGTAGCAGTATACCATATCGTACCTTTCTCAGAACACGTCTGGCCCCGAAAACCAACTGTGCTTAGCAGCTATGTTTATAGCAATAGTCTAACGTCACGAGTCTGATTAGTATATAAAGGAAGAATCTTTATCACGGCTGTGAATCTTTACTAGTGTCCGAAGATGATATCATGCGGCTTGTATTAAACAAGGGTAGCCAGGCACATATGATAGCAGCTATATAAGCTAAGCCCTCATACCGATATCTTAACTAAACGGGAAGAGCTATATGAGTTTATAATTCGGATAGTAGCACAAAAGCTAGGTACTATTATAACCAAGAGGCATTTAAAGATAATTTATAGATCTTTACTTGAGAAGAAATTCTGCAAATGAGAAAGGTCCTAAGTAGGGTTTTAACCCGACCGCGTTGAGGGCTTCCTGAATTATTTGCTTACAGTAGCCGATGCCGAGAGGGACAGAGAAGGTTGTTGTACCATAAACCGAGCCAACAAAGTAAGCGGCCTTTGAGTGGAGTGCAGAACGGATTCTAGAACAAGAGCATCTTCTCTTTCACATCGATTTGGCCTAGGCCGGTTATTAACCCGATTTCTTCTCGTCAGATCCTCTTTGCCAAGACAGCTAACTCACACGAACTCTTGCCTAAACCACATACTGCTTATCAGATCCATCGGTAAGATGTCTCTTATCAGATGATCCATCTGACATTAAAGAAGCTTAAGACTAGCTGAGCCTTAGTGCTCTAGCGCGTGTAAATTCGCGCAACGGACCCAGCTGTCAACTTTGTCGGCCTATTACAACACACCGGTGACGCCTAAAGGTTTTGTTAGCTTGCCAAGAGAGGCTGAGAAAGAAGCTTAAAAGTTAGTGCTTCTAGCTTACAAAGGCTTGCGATCTAGGCCGCGGAACGGTGCCATGGAAGCGGAAATGAATGGATATGAGGGTATTTGTGGTCGTATAAAGATGGGATCTAGTCTCTTGTGAAGAGGCTCTTCATATAAGCTCCTTCTCACCGTTACTAAGAGGTTCTGCGTCAATTGATTGGATTCTTCACGATGAGTGATCAACGTCCTGCGAAGCATGAGGCTTCTTTAGCTTTGACAGAAATCGCTGCTGATCCAGCTCTCGAGAACGCAAAGGCCGAGGATGCTGTTTCTGACTCAATCTTTGAAGATGCCGACGACCGGCCCATTGTCCCTATGACTTGGAGGCTTGGATCCGTCCTGCTCATCTGCCTAATCAGCTTTGGCGCTTCTTGGTCTGCTCGTTTGACATCCTCACTCAAGAGCACTATCAAGAAGGAACTGGACATCAATAACACGCAATTCGCTCTGCTTGAAGCTAGTGAAGAGTTCTTGGTCACGCTGTTGATGATGGCTTCGGGCATTCTGACAGATCGGATCGGCGGTGCTGGTAAGTTCTGTGAATCTCCCCGTCACTTTAACATCATTGACTGATTCATGTAGGTGCCATGCTCTACGGAAACTTGATCATGACCGCAGGTGCTCTCGTTATCGCGGGCGCAGCGACATGCAGGTCATTTCCTCTCATGATCTTCGGCAAAGTCACCGCAGCATTAGGAGACATTGCTACTCAGATCGCGTACTACAGAGTATTCGCCGGGTGGTTTGCACCTGGTGGAGGGTTTGGCACCACTATAGGTCTTCAGATCGGCATTGCAAGAATTGGTGGCTTCGTCGGAAGCTCTACAGCCAACGTCATTTCTAAGGTAAGTAACTTCCGCTTCTCCAAGAAGAAGACACGAGAACTGACTTGAGTGTTCATCAGAATACCGGAAACTTCGCTTGGGTCTTCTGGATCGGCGCATGCGTCGCCTTTTTCACAAACTTGTGTACCCTTGTCTTCTTCGTCTTCACGAAGATCGCACACAAGCGCTTTCGTCCCCCTCCTGACCCAGCGACTGGTGAGCCGTTGGTCGAGAAGAACAAGAAGTTCAATCTTAACAAGATCATCCATGTACCGTGGGTCTTCTGGACAATCATGCTTTTCTCAATGGTGCAGACGAGTTGTTCCAACATCTACTCTCAAAACGCCACTGAGCTTGCTGAGCACCGTTTTGGAGTAGATGCTGTGGCTGCGGGTTGGTATGCCTCTTTGTCGCAATACGCAGGTAAGTCAACAGATACGGGCGAAGATTAATACGCGAAGGGCTAACGCAACAGTCAAGGCTTTTTCCTGAGCCCTCTCATCGGAGCAGTTATCGATACTTACGGCCATCGTGTAACGCAAATGGCTATCTGTGGCACTGGTATGCTCTTATCAATGGGGCTCATCAACTGGAGCAGTACAACCAGTGGTGCAGCAGCTTCGTATGCCTTCTACGCCATCTTCAAGACTTTCGGGCCTGTGACTATCATCGAGGGTATCCGAACTAGTATGTGGCACCAAGACGTTTTTGGTACTGCTTATGCTGCCAAGGTTACGATGAATAATGCGTGAGTCGATACTATTTCTTCACATAACCCACGACAACTGACACTAAATCAGTACCAATATCATCATCCGCATCATCACCGGCGTCATTCAGGATGAAGACGACGGCTCTTACGACAGAGTCACTATCGTCTACGTCTTCCTCGCCACCGCATCTACCGTTATATCCTTAACAATGCTCCTCGGCACCTTCTGGGCTACCGATCTAAAAATCCTGCAATTCTCACGAAAGCAAAGAATCCTACGAGGAGACCTGATCAACGAGCGAAAGGCGAAGAGTCAGGGCCCTAGCGGCAAAAACGCGAGAATGATTAGCAAGGTCTGTTTCGTGGCGCTGTTCGTATATGTGTTGGGAAGCTGGGCAGCTTGGATCTGGGGCGCTGCGACGGGGAATAATTAGGTGATGCAGGTGTTTCAGGATAAATAGGGACGACAGGTTATTGTGGTTGGGCTCGAGGTTCATGAATCGTGGCTGCGGACACTAGCTGCGGGACCGATATACGGCGGGCTAACTAGTATGCGGATCCGCACGGATGTTGGCCGATGTGTCACGCACTCCAGCCCTGTAAGGACGAGCTCAGGCTTCGTCAATTAGGACCGATAGTTTCGTTTCTATTTCATGAGTCATGCTATCTACACTCGATCCTCAACGACCTTCATAATTAGTTCTGCCGTTTCGTCCGTCTTCTCCACGAACGGACTATGACCTGCCGCCAGCCTCGCAGATCTCATTCCCGGTGTTGATTCAACAAGCTTTTCCTGAAGCGGCAATAAAATCAGCTGATCATTTTCACAAATGATATACGTTTTCGGGAAAGTGATATCCGAAGCGATAAAGTCCAGACTCGTCTCAAACGCATCTTGAGAATGCGGCTCCGTAGACTCCAGAGCCTTATCTATCGCGTCTTCCCTGCACCCACTGTAAACACTTTCCCTCGCTCCCTCTGCCATTCTAGTAATTTGGTTCTGCGAATCATTAGCGATATGATGCAAACACTTTGGTCCTTCCTACCTTTGTATACTTCTCACCAGCCTGTAGCCACGGCGGATAAGCCCCACCAAACGTGGTGATGAGATCCCAGCCCTTGACCGGGATAGCAAACGCAGCTAAGAAAATGATCGAGTGAAATCCACCCTTTAAGCCGCGTTTGGCACGCTCTTCTGTGCCTTGACCTTCAGTGGCGGCAGTCGCGGGAATACCGCCGTAGGAATGTGCGATAAGAACGACCTCGCGGCCTTGGTTAAAGAAAGGTTCTGCTGTTTCGATGATCTTGGTTTTGTCTGCTTGCCATGTAACGCCGTGACTTTCATGGCCTACGGAGGGAAGTTTGGGGATGACGCATTCGTAGCCGAGGTTCTTGAGTGCGGTTTTGATGGCGTCGTAGCATTTTGGGGGATGCCATGCTCCGTGAACAAAGAGAAGAACTGGTTTGTCGCTCATGATCGACGTTGATGGCGCTTTTGTGTTGATGTGGCTGGCAGTTTCATATCATAAAAGGGACCAAGCACAGTTCTTATAATTAGCCACAATGTCGTGCTTATCAGCGCATTGCAGAAACAGCTGATACCGGTCCACGTGGACCTCTTCGCTAACGTGCATATTCTCGTAATCCATCCCTGCACGAACCAAGAGCTTGGCTGACCGTTCAGGGGAAGTGAGGTGAGCTTCGGCGGCTGAAAATCCTTCTATGGGCCAACATTCGACTTAGAGTTTGCACCCCTGTGCTTCCGCAAGCTAACACCGCGGGTTTGGTACCGGACCCTTGATTGCGGGCTTATAGGGTTGCATTCGCGGTGGGCTTTGTTCCTATGAATGCCGTGGGCCCGCGTCTGCCGCATTGTGTTGCAGTGATAGTTGAGCGAGTCAGAAATCACCTGTTTCGATTGTTTCCCTAATTCTTCTCCTATTTTTGTCATCGTTTAATGGCAAGTCCAACCCATATTTCACGCTTCGCTCCCCGTGTCTGTTCCTAGCGGTTTTGATCATTTGGTCTCTTTACAGTATCATCATTATTACCGTCGGCAATATGTCTGGCAATAACTCAGCTCCCTCTCTTCCACCTGAGGTCCTGAACCATAATGAAGGGCCCTCTCTCATCATAGTAAGTGCCGTGTCGATACCCTTTGCACTCGGTGTCGTGGCTATCAGGGTATGGGCCCGGCACCGAAAGCGAATGGCTCTTGAACGTGACGATTTCATGATACTCTTATCCTTGGTGAGACTTACTTTCTTAAATTCTTTTCTGCTCCGTAGCGCTGACAAGACCCCTAGCCATTGCTTTGGGCTACTGCTGGAGTCGCAATAGCCTGTAAGTCCCCCTTTGCAGAATTGAGTTGCATGCTGGAACCAAGCTAATGTTGATTCTAGCGGTGACATACGGCGGTGTTGGGAAACCATTGGCCGTCAACATGATGCAAGACCCAAACCGCCTCGGAAGAGCTCAGCTAGTACGCGACAACCCTCTTCGTCACTAAATTCCGAATTCTAACAGCCTTCCCCTAAAGTGTCTAGTTTTGACCGAATTCGTCTACGGCACCGTCCTCTGCACCATAAAAGTCGGCATCCTCCTAATGTACTACCGAATCTTCCCAACAAAATCCATGCGCTTTGGCGGTTACATCCTTGGCGGAATGACATTCTCGTGGTGGATAGGCATCATTTTTGCATCCATCTTCCAATGCTCGCCGGTCGACAAAGCCTGGAAGCCATTCATGAAGGGAGGTACTTGCCTGGATAAGAATCGCTTCTTCATTGGTAACTCGATCCCGAATATTGTGATGGACGCTATGATTATCGCGTTGCCTGTTTTTGAGGTGTCAAAGGTCCAGGTGCCGAGATCTCAGAAGATTGCTATCGCGGGGATATTTTTACTGGGTGGATTGTGAGTTTTTAGATGAAGTTAGAACAGAGCATGTGCTCATTTTCTACAGGATCGTCATTATCAGCTGTATCCGATTGAAGTACATTGTGGCCCTCCTCCAAGCCGGGCAAGAAGCAGACTTCACGAGTAAGCACCTCATCCTTTTCGCTGCCTATCAACGCCATACTAACCGAGATACACAGAGCTCATCTCAACACCCTGGATATGGACAGTAATCGAACCGTCCGTCGGCCTCCTCTGCGCCTGTCTGCCCACAATGCAACCGCTATTATACGTCCTCTTCGGCCGCTTTATCACCAAGACTACACAAGATCGAAGTAAAGAAGGAATCATCACCATTGGAGGCAGCGGCCAAAAGTCAGCAGACAGACAGAAAGGCCCTGTTAAGGATGGACCGTTTCGCAGACTGCATGATAACGACTCAGCTGAAGAGCCTGTTCTGTGGCCAGAGACGTATCATAATCAGCATAATACGACAGTAGAACACTCGAAAGGGGTGGCGGTAGATGAGATTCCGCTGGGGACGATTGCGGTGAAGAAGGATATACATTGGGAAGAGTCGTAGTCAGAAGGGGATTCAACACTGCGATAGGCAGCTCGAAGCATCATGCTTAAAAGGACCTGAGAGATACTTCTTTTCATCACGATCAATGGATCACAGCCATTAGCCGCGGACTACTTTAGAACTAAAATAATGCAATGTGCTGGACCAAAATTTTGTTCTAGTACCTTGGCTAAACCTATCACTGATTGTATCTAGAATGTGATACCTAAATGGGATTCAATATCTCTGAATCGATGACTGTAAAATACCCTACACTCCCCCTAACCCCCTTGTAACTCCCCCGCAATCTCCGATAAATCAGTGGATTCTCCCCACAACCACTATCACGCTTATCGTCCCCCGACGGCCGATTACATCCAACCAATCACACAAACTCATCTATCCAATAGCATATCTCCGTCCGCCGTCTTTAGACCATCATCCAAGACCTCAAAATCCACACACACCCCTTTCTCCATGTCGAACTCATCACCCTCCATTCTTCTCCCCAGTGTATTCTCAGTAATATGAAGAACCACGACGCTGACTTGGCACGCGATGCCGCGCAACTCGCAGCGCTAGGCCACAAGCAAGAGCTAGAGAGAAATTTCTCCTTTGTCTCTATGCTTGGTCTTGCTTTCTCGATTCTTAACTCCTGGACGGCGCTTGCGTCGAGTTTGTCTGTTGGGTTGCCTAGCGGTGGACCTACAGCTGTTATTTGGGGACTTGTCACAGCTGGAGTAGGTAGTATGTCGCTTGCTGTTTCGAACGCTGAGTTTCTTTCTTGTTATCCCACCAGCGCCGGGCAGTATCACTGGGCAGCTATCATATCGCCTCCGAAATGGGTAGCTATCGTCTCGTGGATCACTGGCTGGGTTAATGTCAGCGGATGGGTTGCTCTGTCTGCTTCTGGTGGTGTTTTGGGCGGACAATTGTTTCTCGGCATTATCACCATGTACGACCCCGACTTCGCACCGACACGATGGCAGTACTTCTTACTGTTCCTCCTATACACATTTCTCGGCTTCTTTCTCAACTTGTTCCTGGCTTCGGGATTACCGATGATGACAAAGATGGCGCTGATCTGGTCTGTCTGCGGTCTCCTCGCTACGACAATCACTGTCCTGGCCACTAGCGCCCCTGACTTTCAGCCAGCCAGCTTTGTCTTCGGAGAATTCATCAACTCGACTGGCTGGCCTGGTGGTGTTGCGTTCCTCTTGGGTCTGTTGCAAGGTGGTCTCGGTCTCACAGGCTTTGATGCCGTTGCGCATATGATCGAAGAGATTCCACAGCCCTGCATTCGCGGACCTCGCATCATGATTGCTTGTGTCGCTATGGGTCTGGTAACGGGCTTTGCCTTCCTTGTCTGCCTCTTATTCGTCATCAAAGACGTCGACGCCGTTGTCGCCTCTCCAACAGGACCTCTCGTCGAGATCTACCTACAAGCTACCAACAGCAAGGCTGGTACTGTTTGCCTACTACTCTTCCCCATGATCTGCCTCGTATTTGGCACCCTAGGTATCATGGCCACAAGTACCCGTATTGTTTACGCCTTTGCTCGTGATGGAGGCTTGCCCTTTTCCCGAGTTTTCGCCAAGGTTGACCAGCGATGGGGCATTCCCGTCAATGCCCTCTTGCTCACCAACGCAATCGTCATCATCTTTGGACTTGTGTATCTTGGATCTACCAGTGCGCTGAATGCCATTTTGTCGGCTTCCGTTATCGCTCTCGCTATCTCATATGCCGTCACCCCTGCCATCAACTGCCTCCAAGGACGAAAGGGACTTTTGGACAACCGACCGTTTGCGGTGCCAGAGTGGCTCGGCTGGATCTGCAATATTGTAAGTCCCCCGAAATTCAATAATCTGTCTTGAGACTTTTACTAATCCTTAACCTAGGTTGGCATTGCCTACACGATCGTCATCACCATCTTCCTCCTCTTCCCTCCTGTTAGCGATGTTACAGCCTCCAACATGAACTACGCTGTAGTCGCATTTGCAGTCATCATAATTGTTTCTTCGATCCAATGGTTCGTCGATGGACGACATAACTTCAAGGGTCCTACCTTTGACGAAGACGCGCTGTTTGTCAGTGGAATCGAAGAAGCCAACGGACCTAAGATTGGAGACGATAATGATTCAAAGGTCAACAAGATAGATGCAGAGGTCTAGATTACATATGAACTAAGCTATAATTGTATTTTATTAATTTTGTTCGAAATATCTGGATTGCCATTTTAACCAGTGAAGCGCTTTGAAAAGATAATTCTCCTACACTTCACTGGATCGTCATCAAGAGACTAATGGTACAAGTGACGCATATCATGATATGAGTGCTCTTGCAATGCTATGACAAAGCATTAAGTCGTTTTAATCCGCCGTTGTAATCCCCAGTCTCCCACAGGTGTAACGCCTGGGAGGTCATCAACGTGAATAGGCGACAGGGAATGCTTCCGTCGCCATCGCACGAAAATGAGGGCAGCGACTCATGATTGGCCCACGTTCCGAGACTCTTAAGATACCACTGGGTTCTTCCAATATACGGAAGCTGTATTGAGATAACAACCAACAGCCCCAGCATCCAGCTTTTGAAGATGTAAATGTCAGGTCGCACCCCGTGGAGATGAGGCTAGTGTCCATCGCTTGGAAATGCTACATCGGGTTTAGTCCCCCGCAATCGCCGTTGACCCAAACCAAAAAGAGAAAAGTCGTGTCCGTCGGCCGTCGGCCGTTTCCTGACCCATGCGACCGACGAATCTGAGGTTGCACAACTAGTTTATTATCTTCGCCACGGTAAGTATTAGGATATCAATTTCTAGACCAGAGTTCGATGACTCAGTAGTAGTCTTATCTAGTTCTGATTCATGTTACTGCTTCGCGATTCGGGATTCGGAGACGTAATTTCACTGTATGCAACGCAGGGGAATTTCTCGTAAGATGATCGCGACTCAAATACACGTAAAGTTTTCACCATCAATAGAGTTGTTCATACATAATTTCTTTCTTCCAGATATATTTCATAATAATAATATCATAAATTCTTAAAATAACAGTCTACTTGCACTCTCAATTCATGCTCAATGGCCTGCAATAAACAATAGTCGTCTCTGCCAATAATGTGTTCTACAGACGAGGCTTGCTATCCGCGCAACATGAAGCCTCTTCAGCCTTTTCGGCATTCGTCAGCTGCGAAGTAAAGTTCTTCCTGCCAGGCACATCGATAGCCGGGTTTGCCGTGAAGAAATCGGCAGGCTTGATATGAAGATCAAGAATCTCAACAGGCCTGGTACTGATTAGCAACTTTGACCTCCAAATGGCATATTAGACACTTACATGACTGGCCAGTCCTCCACTCTGGGGTTATGAGTAAGACCAAAAACACTCCATAACACAATGTCCTGCTGGAAAACATCATCGTTCCTATCAGCAGCATCCGCTACACCTTCAACCTCCGATACTGACTGCAGCGTATATCTTCCACCAGCATAGAATTCATTATCCCTATGCTTAGTAACCCACAAGTGTCTCTGCGCAAACCTCGCCCGTTTCGCCTGCGTAGAATTCGGATCCGCAAGCAACGGCCTCGTAACCGGCGCAAGAATCTTATACCCCACAGGCTGTCCACTAATTGGATTCAGCTTATCCATATTCTGCACCTTGAACGTCCGATCCGTGAAGGGGTTTGCGTCAAGACCTGCTGAGGCTGTAACTGGGGTTGTGACGACCTGGTAGGCGTTGCCGTTGGGGTTGGTGCGGGCGTCGATGCGCATGGGGAGAGATTCTGTTTGGACGAGTGTGTTCTTATGGCCGTCGATTGCGGGGTCGATGCGAACGCAGAAGATGTGTTGGTGGTTTTGGGCAAGGATCCCAGGGCTTACGACATTGCCCCATGGAGCGGTCTTGCCCTCTTCTATGAGGACGGAAGAGACGATGCCAGTGGCGCGGGCTTGGACTGTGATGGCTCCTGCTTGGTCGAAGATATACTGATTTTGAGTTAGACAGCTAGTCGTGGTCGAAAGGGAGGGAGCTTACGTTGAAGATGTATTCGTAGTTGGCAAGCGTGATTATGAACTGAACAACAAGTTCTCGCCGGCGGGTTACGACAGCTCGGCCAGTACGCCAGTTGGTGTGCTTCCAGTTAATACCATTATCTTGCTCATGCAGGCAAATAACATTCTTAGTTGTGCGTGCAGTACCGCTGTGGTCGACCAAGACACCATCAAAATACTAAAACCTAGTCAGTCCATATGAACTGCCGAGTGTGATGTGTATCACTCACCTTGATGACACCCAAACAGTCACACCCAAGCTGGAGGTTATTACAAGCATCTCCAAGCGTTCCATCACCAAAGTCAAAAGCCTGCTTTCGGTGGAATGGAGGTCGAGGATCCGCATAAGGAACAGTCATATCGCTAATAGACAGTCTGTATAGGACACTTCGGCCGTCGAAACGAACATCATGCAGCACCGCACCCTCACGAGGGTTAAAAGTCGCCCTCATGCTCCACTTCTGCCAATTGATCACATTCGAGTCCTCAACATTAAAGCTAGGTCCGGAAGGCTGAACGACATTGAGCTCCTTCAGATCCCTGCGAAGACCGCCAGGCAAAAGCTCAGGAACATATTCTGAAGGCGTCATGTGATCGATGTTGACTTTGGCGTAGTTGCCCTCGGCGAAGGTATGAGGATCATTGCCTCCGCCGGTAGCAACCTCATGAATTCGGATGACTTCGCGTGTTTCGGCATCGATGACGGGGATGATGGGGAGAGGGTATCCCCAGAAGTTGCATTCGCGGTTCTTGCTGTCGGCAGCGTAGATGAGGGCTTGCATGTGTCGGCGGTTGGGGTCATCAGCTGCGTCGAGGCCACCATATGGCCATGGCTCAACGACGACTTCGAAGCCTTGGGGGAGGTTGAACTTGGCGATGCGCTCCTTGAAGACGGGGGACTCTCGGCAGATGATTCTCACATCATCGAGCTCCTCACTAAAAGTCCAGATTAGTCGCTAATATCGCGTTGGATCTTAAGGACAGGTCTAGCATACCTTGTGAAAGCTGCTTGAGCATCAGCGCGGATTGACTCAATCTGCTTGATCTTTCTTGTGTTTAGATCAATGATGGCCTCATGCGATTGCGGAGGCTTGCCACCATGAGCTGTATCAAAATGAACTCGAGCCTCACGAGCAGGTCTGGGTGTAGAGCCAATAACCTTCCCAGCATGTTCAAGATCTAGATAAGGCGCCAGAATTTCCTTGGCTGGCTCCTCAAGATAGATGACCCGGAACTTCAGGACATTTTGAGGATAAGCAGCGCGAATGACGTCTCTGGCCAAGTTTGTCTCGTCGACTGACAGAGGAATAAGAGGATGAGGTTGAGACATCTTGGTTATTTCTGGGGTAAAATGAAGGATACTGAGGAAAGACAAAGACGGAGCGAGGTTGAGGATTTTTAAGCCGCTTCGGACCAGAACTCATAATAACCTGACGCCGTCTGGAGCTAGTGTCATGCCAAGACGTGTCGCCCGGCGGCGGATTGGGCTCTAGCGCGTATCTTGGTTGCAGAGAGTAGCGATTAGAGAAGCTAAGCTATCGAGCTAGCTGAAAGTGGGTAATGAAATGAGTTATGCTTGGTTCTATGCGAATTAATTGGCTTACTTGCCAAGTCGAGAAGTTGCATAAATATGCCCGGATTTGGTGTATAACGGACACCGTTGATAATTGTTTTGCGATGAGATGGATTAGTCCTCGTGGAAGTCTTTTGTGAAGAACCTCATATTGGCGAAAAAGGGATATCGTGTCCTTCTGATTTATTTTTGTGGCTTGAGGCATAATTTTACGGATGTCTAATTAACATAAGCTAGAGCTCACGCCAGTATCAGATATCTCTACAAGGAGATCCGTTTTTAAATCGAACGGACGGTAAGATTGTAAGAAATTTTTACTTATCCGAAATGAATTACTTTAATAAATTAGGCTCCTTCGAGCTGTCTTTTTACAATGTCTTTATCAATACCGTTCAATATATTAGGTAATGTGAGAGTGTTTTTACAATTCTCTGCCAGACACATCCAAGTCTATCAGCTATGTCACAGTTATGAGATCAAGTTCTCTTTAACGCCGACCTCGAGCGAACCTTAGCAACATCAATTAAATATCACAATCTTACATATCCGCCAGAGCATATATATGCATATAAGCAGGCGGGTCGCAGATTAATACGCACACCAAAGCTCTCTTACTATAGTAAGACAGAGCTACTGATATAAATAAGCAGGTTACACTTAGCCTCTGACTCCGAGATATATTTCTCTCAGCCACTTTATGTGTACGTATTAATTTGCGACCTACCTGGTGAGATACAGAGCCTTGTTTTTTAAATCAAGGTCGGCTAATGCGCGGAATACATGACGTCCAATAGGCATTCGAGAAGTAAGTGACACAATAGCTCAGCTCCTGCAGTATTGTGGGCACTTTTGAATACGAGCCAATAGGTGACCAAATTGATCACATCACATGAAAGAAGTAGTAATGCAATTAGCAGAATCCTAATACGGCGTAAGCAACTTTGGCTGGCTAAAATATAATGGATGCCACACCGAAGGCAAGGTACTTCTCCCTACATACTATTTCTATGGCAGAGCTAGTAGATCCTTTAGGGGCCATCGCGTGGGTGAGAAAGCCCTATGATCTACCTTGTAGAGGACGTATAACCCCGGTATATACATACTGCATCTTTTAATCTGACAACACGTTCCCTCTAAAACCCCTCACTTTGGAATCTTACTCTGAAATCTACCGACCTCATATACATACTGATTACTACATTTCACCTAATCTCGGCTGCGTGGTAGCTGAGAAGGATGAAATATCATGGATCCCTTCACTGCCATCGGCCTGGCCGGCAACATTCTGACTTTCATTGATATCGGGTTCAGATTGGTAAACCAAACGAAGGGAATCTACGACTCCAAGTCCAATAGCACCGCCGAAAATGATAGCCTCAGCGTCATGACGACGCGATTCACCGCTACCATGGTCGACATGCAGAGCAAGATACCGAGCGGAAATCTGAGCAAGGATGAAACGGCTTAGAAAGAGCTCGTTACAGAATGTAGCAGCATCTCAGACGAGCTTCAGAACCTACTTTCAGAGCTGAAGGCCAAGAAGCCGAATTCAGTACGCAGCAGCATGAAGGCAGCACTCCGCGACTGGAGCAAGAAGAAAGAGAAAGAAGACCTTCATAAGAGACTTGAGAGTTCCCGCCAGCAACTTGACTTGCTGCTTTCAACAATGACACGGTATGAGGAATACTTGGGATAACATTCCCATGCTACATTCTTTTGACTAACACTTGAATGCAGATTCGAATCTCTAGAGCGCCTCAACCAGTTGATAAAATATGGCCAGTCCAGTGAAGCTGAAATCACCTCTCTTCGCCGGAACATAGATGCCCTTCGCTCTGGGCTACAGGTCAAGTTCCTCAGCACCGAGGCTCTGGAGCAGATCCAGGAAGTAGTCAGTTTGTCAGATCGTGCGACGTTGAAGATGCGGGAAAGTTGCATCCTTACTGCCTTGCGGTTCGATTTGATGGATGACAGATACGATGATGTCGCCGAGGCCCATGACAAGACGTTTGAGTGGATATTCGACCCATACATTCGTGACGACGATGATGACCTACTGCACAGCTCTGGCATCACATCTTACAGACCAAAGGAAAGGCCTGGAGCTCGTGACAAGTTCGTCTACTGGATCAAACACGGCAACGGCATCTTCCATATCTCCGGAAAGCCAGGCTCCGGAAAGTCGACTTTGATGAAATATCTGTGTCGACAGGAGGAAACGAAACGGTATCTTGATGTCTGGGCTGCGGATAAGTCTCTTGTCTTTGGTAAATTCTTCTTCTGGAATCCCGGCACAACCCTGCAGAAGAGCCTGAGGGGGTTGATTCGTGGTCTTCTTTATTCTATTTTAGCCAATGCTCCGGAGCTTATCCCTCTAGCCTTTCCGAAGCATTGGGATGCCACGCTTAGTAAGGTCGCAGTCGCGTTTGATTCCTCGGACGATATCTTGATCGCTTTTACCGATCTGATTTGCCGGGACGAGGTCTATCGTAACCACAAGCTTGTCTTCTTTATTGATGGCTTAGATGAGTTCCATGGAAACCATACAGCACTAATAAAGGAACTGCTGCGATGGACATCAACACGACCTACAGATGTCAAGATGTGCGTCTCGAGCCGAGAGTGGCCCATCTTCCAAGAAGCATTCAAGATATTCCCAAGTTTCCGCTTGCACGAGCTGACGCGATCTGATGTCTCACGAATTGTACGGGACAGGCTGAAGAACAACGACACCTACCAGAAACTGGCAGATCCTGATGAATTAGCACGCTTTGAGTCTAATCTTGTGGATAGATCGGACGGCGTATTTTTGTGGCTCAAGCTGATCTTGCAAGACGTTGAGGACGGTCTCCTGAGCGGAGATAGACTGTCGCAATTGCAGAACAAGGTCAAGGCGCTTCCAACTGAGTTGAACGACCTATTCCAGCACCTTCTTAACTCTATTCATCCGTGTGATCGAAAGGAGGCATACTTGATCTTGTCAGTCGCGCTTGAGTGCTCTCCCGATTGGCCCATCTTCCGCATCTCCTTTCTGGAAGAGTACATCGAGAATCATGATTTTGCTCTCAGTCAAAGGATTGAGCGGCTCAAAGGCGACCACATAATGGACCGACTGGAGCGAACCCGAAAGAAGATCTACGGCAAATGTAAAGGGCTCCTCGAAATACAGTTGGTGCATCTCGATTAGGAGCGACAGATCGACCGAACCTTGAAAGAGTCTGTCAAATTCACGCACCGCTCCATTGTTGAATTTCTCCAAAACGACCAGACTAAGCAATCGTTTAATGCTGAGTTAAAAGGCCTCGATATCTTTGATTCTATTTGTCAAACGTTCCTCGCGCATATCCAAGCAGCCATCATGCACAAGCATTATTATCATGATTGTCACGGGGAATCCGATTCAGAAGATTATTTGTCGTTCCCTCCAGAAGATCTAATCAAAGTGCTTCCGCCTCCAAGTCTAGATTACGATATTTGCACCCTCTTAGGAGCATATGCTGCGAAAGACACGGCCGCGGACTCAGCGAGATTCACGGCATTCCTAGACAAAGTAGTCGGGGTAGCCGAGGACCTGTTCTCCCCCAAGGCCAAGTTTCAGTTCGTCAATGACACTTGGATGAGGGATGATTTGATCTACCACACGATAGAGGTCAGCTTTCCGGTTAAGGTGGCCCTCTTTAGTGCTTCGTACGGGATGACCGATTTTTTTTGCAGACAGACTCCATTGGCCTAGACGGAATACGAGAACATGTTACGCTGCCCATGTTGACATGGATGACATGCTACGTGTCCCTGTTAAGGAGTGCGGTGCGTAATCGCATCTCTAAAGGATTCAACACGATCCTTAATGCCTATCTCGACCTGGGCATGGATCCGAATGGTCCTTCAGTAGTGGAGAGCGTGTCCTGTTGGCACTATATGCTTTTTGAGAGTATTGGCTCCGATGACCGGGGGCGTTTTATCTCAACCATAGCTTCATTTCTTCTTCATGGAGCGAATCCAAGATTCTGGTTCAAATTTGGTTCCAGGCATCGGTCCAAAGGCAACGCAGATCCCCCAGATGTGGTAATTCCGATCGAATTTGAGTGGGGTGAGGAAAGAAAACGTCTTCATTTCCTTGAAGAGGACAGAGTGATCACGGTGAAGTTAAACTGGCGACTCGGCATGTTTATAAGACAGGGGCAGGTGGAATTTTCCTGCAAAGAGTTGCTTGCTATGATGTTTCCTCATCAGAAGAGCGACTTCGAAGAAGCCATTGACTACATCCTTCAATGGAACACAGAGGTCCTTGCGAATGATCATCTGCAGGAATTAAAAGAGCGGTTTCAAACGACTTTAGGTACCTGGATAAATTCGGGTGGCAGTGGGGTAGGTCTAGGTAATAGTAAAAGTCCTGAATTTCCTATTCTTGATCTTGAGAATACAAGAAAACAAGACTTATACTTAATAGATAGCTAATATAGGTAGTACAATATCTCACAGAAGGTTATATTAGCTTAATGTGATTGAAAGCTAATTGAAATCAATCGCATTATAAACCTCACAACGTCTTGGCTCTTCTTATAATTGTATTCTCAACGTCATCGATCTTCATTCTCCGTCCATGGCCTCTGAAGCGACTCAGAATCCATTGCTCCTGACCTTCAGTCTTCAAGATAATACTAAGTTTATTTTCCCTTTTCTTATCATCTGTACTGTCATTTGAAGCAGTCGTGGAGTCCAATGTAGTGTTGAAAGCGTGTTCACATGCATTTGTTGCAATGTGAATAATGTTTTCTCTGACTTGTTTGACATTGTCCCAGTAGAAGACGCCGAGGCCCAAATGGCAGATATGCCAATAGACACAAGAACTACATTTATCATTATCAGTGGGAGAGTAACTGAAGGTCACTGAAAACAAGAACTTACATATGATATAGAAAGCCCAAGCCGGAGCTTCTTGAAATGAGGCAACGTCCAAAGCAAACAAGGAAGATAGGAACGATAGTGGAAGCTGGTTGCAACCGTCAGTATCCTCCGAAACCCGATGCATTATTCTTGAGATACAACTTACGAACAACACAGTCGCAAAAGTAAAAGTCATGACTGTTTTCCCTTGTCTAGTCGCTTCTGTGGCTTGTCGATTCGCAACCTCATTTTGCTGAAGTGAAAGAGCTGTGTTTATCTTTTTGCTTCGGGTCAGAAACTCCAATTTCATCGTTGGTCAGGATCAAAGTTTAACCTACCGCCAACTGTATTCTCTCGGCGATGGAATCGAGCTCTCGCAGATCCTTGACGACATATGTTGACGAAAACCATGATTCATCCACGTCCTTGCTGGCAAGTCCTCTTTGTTCGATTTGTTGGTATTGGGCCACGGATTGAAGGATGTTGAGCTCATCGCGGACGTCTTTGATGTCGCAGTAGAGGTCTTTAGCTTTCTCCTCGAGGCAGCACCGAATATACTTGACTGAATCCTAATATATTAGACTATAATAGTATCAAACCAAGGCGCCGCTGCATTATTACTCTAGATTGTATTTTCCTAAGCAAGGAGTAGCCGACGAGCGAGTTGTCATGGATCCTTAGCAGCTGGAAAATAATACTAACTCGTCGTTAAGGTAATGTTAAGGTTATATATGGCTACTAACGAACTCATTCGCGGCGTTGCACTGTAATGTATAAAGGATTGTATTAATTATAGATCTAGCGAGCACTCCAGTATCTTTTATCTATTTACAAATCTCTGCGTATGTGATTAGTGTACGAAAGATAGTTCGTAGCGTCTTAACTATATCTCAGAATATTAAGATATTATCCGTACTCTTCTTTAATAGCAAGGGACAGTAATCCTTTCCTAGGTAAAGATTAAGTAAACTTAAATACAAAGCATCTTATATACCTCTAAGGCCAGCTAAAGAGTTATAATCTAGGTTTTTCTTTTATTAACCTTTAGCTATAGTAAATAGTTAGTTATTTAGTATAATATCTAAGTTATGAGCTAGATATATTATTTATAGTTAAGACTTATAGCTAAGAGCTTAAATTAGTAAATAGAACTTAGTAAACTTAAATATATAAGGAAAATAAAAAAAGAAAGCCTTAAAGGCTTTATAATAAATAACAAGACTAAGGAGAAGAATATATAAACTAAGTAATAAACTCTTATTAAAGATAATCTTAGGAAGCGTAAAGGTATAGTTATATATTATATTTAGCATTATATAAAACTTGTGTAAATTAGAGCAGAAAAACACTTATATATTCTTAGTACTAAGAAATTTTAAAATAAGTTAAAGACTAAGTTTAAGTAGAAGATAGTAGGGTCTGCCTTGGCTAGCTTTTGTATCACGCTGTAAGAAGAATACAAGATTGCCTTAGCGTAAGGAGAGTATTATACTTAGCCTGGAGCTACTAGGGGCAATAAAAGCAGGAAAAGGTAAATATAAATACAATGCTCTCTAGTCCAGAACCTCTTTTTAGTTATACTTAAAGCCATTTTAGCTTACTTCTTAAGATACTTTAATATTATATATTAATTGTCTTATTATTTATTTATAAAATAAAAGTTAAATTAACCTAAACTTAATAATAACTAGCTCTATTAATTAATTACATATACTAAAGTATATAA